CTGGAACGCAGGAGGGAGAGATACATGATTATATACACCTGGAAAATCCTAGAGGACTAGTACCGAACTTGCACACGAAAATCACTCACTACGAAAGCAAAAGACTTGGCAGACGATGCACCATCCCCCCAATGAAAAGCAGGGGTGTCACTAGCACGTTAAGAGACCATACAATAAGTGTCAGGGGCCCGAGACTGTTCAACTGCCTCCCAGCACACATAAGGGGGATTACCAACAGACCCCTGGCAGTCTTCAAGCTGGCACTGGACAAGCACCTAAAGTCAGTTCCTGATCAGCCGGGCTGTGGCTCGTACGTTGGTTTGCGTGCAGCCAGCAGCAACAGCCTGGTTGATCAGGCGCTGATCCACCAGGAGGCCTGGTCACAGACCGGGCCGCGGGGGCGTTGACCCCCGAAACTCTCTCCAGGTAAACTCCAGGTAACACCCATATAAGAGCGTTGGTAAAACTATACTCTCATACATTCCCCTCTTTGCCTCCAAGGACAAAGTTCTTTGTCTCCACAGAATACAGTTTGTTTAAATCCTTCTGAAGTTCCCTAACATCTACGTTTGAATCAATTATCCTACCTATCTTTGTGTCATCGGCGAATTTGCTCAAATCACTAGTAACACCCTCATCAAGATCATTGATATATATTATATACAACAACGGTCCCAAGACTGATCCCTGTGGAACGCCACTTGTTACAGATCCCCACTCGGATTTAACACCATTTATGGACACTCTCTGCTTCCTGTTTGTGAGCCATGACTCGATCCAAGAGAGCACTTTTCTCCCAATGCCATGAGCTGCCACTTTCTTTAACAGTCTTTGGTGCAGAACTCTATCAAAAGCCTTACTAAAATCTAAGTAAATAATATCAAATTCTTTATCGTGGTCAACAGCCTCAAAAGCTTTACTGAAGAAAGTTAATAAATTAGTTAGACAAGAACGGCCTCTTGTGAATCCATGCTGAGTATCATTAATCAAGCTATGCTTATCGAGATGGCTTCTTATAATCTCAGCTATAATTGACTAGTAATTTGCCTACAATTGAGGTCAGGCTTATTGGGCGGTAATTAGATGGTAACGACTTGTCCCCTGTTTTAAAAATAGGAATTACCTTAGCCATCTTCCACATATCAGACACTACGCCTGTTTGAAGAGATAAATTAAAAATATTAGTTAGTGGTTCACAGAGTTCCATTTTGCATTCCTTAAGAACCCTTGAAAAAACCTCATCAGGACCCGGTGACTTATTTTGCTTCAGTCGGTCTATCTGCTTCACAACCATTTCACTAGTGACTGTGATGTTACATAATTTATCTTCTTCCAGCCCACTATAAAATTTAATTACTGGAATATTATTAGTGTCTTCCTGTGTAAAAACCGAGAGAAAATAATTATTTAAAATCGAGCACATTTCATTTTCTTTGTCAGTAAGATGCCCATAGTTATTTTTAAGGGGACCTATCTTATCTCTAACTTTTGTTTTATATACCTGGAAAAAACTTTTTGGGTTAGTTTTAGAATCCCTAGCAACTTTAATTTCATAGTCCCTTTTAGCTTTTCTTATCCCCTTTTTAATGTCCCTCTTAATGTCAATATACTGATTCATAAGATGACCCTCACCTCTTTTGATACGCCTATAAATTCCTTTCTTATGCCCTAATAGATATTTCAGCCTATTATTCATCCATTTTGGGTCATTTCTATTTGATCTAATTTCTTTATACGGGATAAACGTTCTTTGAGCGTTATGTATAGTGTTCAGAAAACTGTCATATTGATAGCTCTCTTCGTTACCCCAGTCAACAGATGATAAGTGTTGTCTGAGCCCATCGTAATCTGCTAAGCAAAAATCTGGGACTGTTACTGAGTTATCCCTACTATCATACTTCCATTCAATGCTAAATGTAATTGATTTGTGGTCGCTAGCACCCAGTTCCTCTGAAACTTCTAAATTGTAATAAAGTTGGTAGAATTACCGACAATATGTAAAGTAAAAGGACACAAGTGCAACTAATGTGACATTTATTGTGGCAACGTTTCGCTCTCCAGAAGCTTTATCAAGCCCCTGGAGAGCGAAACGTTGCCACAATAAATGTCACATTAGTTGCACTTGTGTCCTTTTACTTTACAACTTCTAAATTATCAACAAGGGATTCATTGTTTGCCATAACTAAGTCAAGCAGGTTATTTCCCCTTGTAGGTTCTGTCACAAACTGCTTCAAAAAACAATCCTGAACAACTTCTAAGAAGTCGTATGATTCTAAATTCCCAGTCAAGAAATTCCAATCAATATGACTAAAGTTAAAGTCTCCTGGAATTACTACATTATCGTGCCTTGTGGCCCTAACAGTTTCCTCCCATAGTAGTCTCCCCTGGTCCCTATCTAAGTTTGGGGGACGGTATATCACACCTAAAATTAATTTTTCATGCCCCTCTGAAAATTCTATCCTAACAGACTCTGTATGTGTTACTTCAGACTTAATACCCGTTTTTATGCAACAGTTCAAGCGATCTCGGACATACAATGCCACCCGACACTTCTGTCTACTTGGAACAATTTAAAACCCTGAATGTGACATTCTGCAGGCATGTCCCGACTTTTTGAATTAAATCACGTCTCAGTTAAGGCAAATACATCAATGTTACCTGCACTAGCAACTAGTCTCAACTCGTCCATCTTATTCCTAGCAGTGCGACTATTTGTGTAATATATATTTAAAGACCCTCCTCTGTCTTTACCCTTCCTGCTCCTTTCTGTTATTCCACTAAACCTATTACTGTCCTTGTCAATTAGTGCCACTGGCTTTCCAATATCCACCTCATTTTGCCTATTACTAGTTCTCCTAGTACTCATATTACTACACTGCGACTTCACTGTTTTCCCGCCAAAACCCATACCACTAATTACTCCTAGTTTAAAGACCTAACAGCTCACTCCACTGCGTTGGCCAGTGCTCCCACCCCACACCTAGATAAGTGAACCCCATCCCTGGCATACATGTCATTTCTGCCATAGAAGAGGTCCCAGCTGTCAATGAATGTTACTGCATTTTCCTTACAGTATTTGTCCAGCCAGCAATTGACACCAATTGCTCTGGACAACCATTCATTTCCAACTCCTCTCCTTGGCAAAATGCCACATATGACAGGTTTCCCACCCTTCCTCCTAATTATATCTATTGCTCACCTATCCCTGCTAATCAGGTCCTCACTCCTACGTCTGCCAACATCGTTGCCTCCAGCACTGAGACAGATAATAGGATTTCTCCCATTACCTCTCATGATGTCATCCAGATGGCTAACAATATCCTTCATCCCAACCCCAGGAAAACACACTCTCTGCCTCCTACTCCTATCCTTCAAGCAGAATGCTCTATCCATGTTCCTAATCTGGCTATCCCCAACAACAACAATGTTTTTACCTTTCTTGGCGTCGTCCGTCGTGATGCTCCGAGTAGTCGACTCACATTCGCCAGGTAGCATTACACCACTTGTAGAATTCGTCAAGACGTTCTCGATGGTCTTCGTTGGGGTTTCTAGGGATGTCTCACTCACGTCTGCCAATGCTTCTTTGGTGCTCGTTGTGGCATTCCCAGTAGAACACTCACATTCGTCAGGTAGCACCGAGAATGGGTTGGAAGTTTCCACGGTAGTCTTCTGGTTTCTCGTTGTTTCTGCCTCTCCAACCGTTTTCTTGATCCTCAGCTTGGTTCCATGTTGCCCGGCCACTGACCAAGCTCCCCTCTTAACCTGGGGACTCACAACAGGATTATTACTACGAATCCTCTTGTTCTCCTCCGTTAATCGCCGTATCTCCAGCTTAGCAACTCTGAGCTCTTCTCTCAGCTGCTGGTAAAGTTGCTCAAGAGAGGGCATCCTGGTTCAGATTCACAGAGAGCACACAAACAGGTCTTCACATAGCTAAGTACAGGTCACCACTGAGCTAAGTACACGTCACCACTGAACGAACTTACTTAAACTGCAGCGTGTCCAGAACAAGGCGCTGTGGTGGGTGCTTGATGTCAGATGGGAGGACTTCGCCACAAGCGAGTCTCTCCATGCCCAGTTAGACATCCCTGCACTGAATCTGTACTGGAAGACGCTCAGTGACAGACAGACAAACTTGAGAGACGACATGACTACTGGACCTCTCTCCTTGAAGACATTCACAGACCCACAAACCAACATAACATTTTCTACTCCTTTTATGATCCTGCTCCTAACCCTATTAAAATAACCTTGGATTCTCTGACAGGTACCTTGAACTGTTCATTTTCTGACCCACGTTTGCCTTAGCTTTTGATTTAAGAGTTAGTTAGTTAGTTTAATATGTTTATTATGCACCCCATACCCATCCTGTGGGGGGTAGTCAAAAGATTACAGAGGTACATAATTGGTCCAGGGACTGGACTCCAAAGTTTTGATAGCTGAGCAAGTTACAGAGGTAATGAGTTCACAATTTACAAAGGTAATGAACTCACAATTTACAAAGGTAATGAACTCCAGGTAGGCCTAGCCACAATCATGACAAGTTACAAAGGTATTTACAGATTACAGAGGTACATAATGGGTCCAGGGACTGGGTCCCAAATGGCTCAGTTCTATTCTCCTCTCTAGCGCTAATCATCGCCTGTCCTGTCCTCCCCGCTCAACCCACCGGAGTCCCAACAGAAGAGCCTGAATTTCTCTTCTCAATATCTGTCCCACGATCGCCTTCGCTGCTGGGTTAAGCCCTGGCTCTATTTCTACGACTAAGAACACTCCTCTCTAGCACTATTCTTCGTCTGTCCCGTCTTACCCGCTCATCCCATTTGGGATCTTACCTGAACTTGTTCGTTCGTTCATTCCTTTTGTTAGTGTGACTTTGTAAACGGTTCAAGTCGGACAGAAACGTCGTCGTAAGCCCCTCTCTTATATGTGTGGGGGTTATTTGTGTAACATCCTTCCACATTGGTGGAGGTTGGTTTTGTGATGGGCGGAAGTCAGGGTTCAATACGACGTACACTGTCAGTGGCCCTATAAACAACAACACCAACAACTTGTGTTGTTGGTGGGTGAGTGTGATAAAGTGAACAATAAACAGTGTTTGTGGTGTCTAACACAGGTGAGTAACACCTGTGGTGTCTAACACAGGTGAGTAACACCTGTGGTGTCTAACACAGGTGAGTAACACCTGTGGTGTCTAACACAGGTGAGTAACACCTGTGGTGTCTAACAGGTGAGTAACACCTGTGGTGTCTAACAGGTGAGTAACACCTGTGGTGTCTAACACAGGTGAGTAACACCTACCTTTATTACAATACAACATTCATGTGCTAGATGATACATAGAGAGAGTTTGACCCATGAAATATAGTGTATTAAGGCGCCAGACATGATCATATCTGTCTTGTTGACTGTGTTACCTGCTCAGGTGTTGACTGTGTTACCTGCTCAGGTGTTGACTGTGTTACCTGCTCAGCTGTTGACTGTGTTACCTGCTCAGATGTTGACTGTGTTAGTTGCTTAGGTGTTGACTGTCAGGTGTTAGCTGCTCAGGTGTTGACTGTTGTCTGCTCAGGTGTTGAGTGTTTCAAGTGTTAGGTGCTCAGGCAGGAGCAGGTGTTAGGTTCTCAGGCAGGAGCAGGTGTTAGGTGCTCAGGCAGGAGCAGGTGTTAGTACTCAGGCAGCAGCAGGTGCTAGGAACTCAGGCAGCAGCAGGTGTTAGGTGGTCAGGTATCAGCAGGTTTTAGGTGTTTAGGCAGCAGCAGGTGTTAGGTGGTCAGGCAGCAGCAGGTGTTAAGTGGTCAGGCAGCAGCAGGTTTTAGGTGCTTAAGCAGCAGCAGGTGTTAGGTACTTAGGCAGCAGCAGGCATTAGGTGGTGAGGAAGCAGCAGCAGGTGTTAGGTGGTGAGGCAGCAGCAGCAGGTGTTAGGTGGTGAGGCAGCAGCGGCAGGTGTTAGGTGGTGAGGCAGCAGCAGCAGGTGTTAGGTGGTGAGGCAGCAGCAGCAGGTGTTAGGTGGTGAGGCAGCAGCAGCAGCAGGTGTTAGGTGGTGAGGCAGCAGCAGGTGTTAGGTGGTGAGGCAGCAGCAGCTGGTGTTAGGTGGTGAGGCAGCAGCAGCAGGTGTTAGGTGGTGAGGCAGCAGCAGCAGGTGTTAGGTGGTGAAGCAGCAGCAGGTGTTAGGTGGTGAGGCAGCAGCAGCAGGTGTTAGGTGGTGAGGCAGCAGCAACAGGTGTTAGGTGGTGAGGCAGCAGCAGCAGGTGTTAGGTGGTGAGGCAGCAGCAGCAGGTGTTAGGTGGTGAGGCAGCAGCAGCAGATGTTAGGTGGTGAGGCAGCAGCAGCAGGTGTTAGGTGGTGAGGCAGCAGCAGCAGATGTTAGGTGGTGAGGCAGCAGCAGCAGGTGTTAGGTGGTGAGGCAGCAGCAGCAGGTGTTAGATGGTGAGGCAGCAGCAGGTTTAAGTTAGTAAGTTTTAAGGTTTATGTTACATAATAAACAATATTGTTGGCAGAACATTCATATACATTATTTAACTAAGAATAACCCAATAAGTTAGTAAGTTTATTTAGGTACAAGTACACATAAATACACCTAAACAAATTATTATACATAGTAACATGTACATTAACCACCAGAGTAACACAAAAATTATCATACATAGTAACATGCACATTAACCACCAGAGTAACACAAAAATTATCATACATAGTAACATGTACATTAACCACCTGAGTAACAAAAATTATCATACATAGTAACATGTACATTAACCACCAGAGTAACACAAAAATTATCATACATAGTAACATGTACATTAAACACCTGAGTAACAAAATTATCATGCATAGTAACATGTACATTAACCACCAGAGTAACACAAAAATTTACCTACATAGTAACATGTACATTAACCAACAGAGTAACAAAAATTATCATACTTCGTAACATGTACATTAACCACCAGAGTAACAAAAATTATCATACTTTGTAACATGTACATTAACCACCAGAGTAACACAAAATTATCATACATAGTAACATGTACATTAACCACCAGAGTAACACAAAAATTTACCTACATAGTAACATGTACATTAACCACCTGAGTAACAAAAATTATCATACATAGTAACATGTACATTAACCACCAGAGTAACAAAAATTATCATACATAGTAACATGTACATTAACCACCTGAGTAACGAAAATTATCATACATAGCAACATGTACATTAACCACCTGAGTAACAAAAATTATGATACATAGTAACATGTACATTAACCACCAGAGTAACACAAAAATTATCATACATAGTAACATGTACATTAACCACCAGAGTAACAAAAATTATCATACATAGTGACATGTACATTAACCACCTGAGTAACAAAAAATTATCATACATAGTAACATGTACATTAACCACCAGAGTAACACAAAAATTATCATACATAGTAACATGTACATTAAACACCAGAGTAACAAAAATTATCATACTTAGTAACATGTACATTAACCACCAGAGTAACACAAAAATTATCATACATAGTAACATACATTAACCAGCAGAGTAACTCAAAAATTATCATACATAGTAACATGTACATTAACCACCAGAATAACACAAAAATTATCATTCATAGTAACGTACATTAACCACCAGAGTAACACAAAAATTATCATACATAGTAACATGTTCATTAACCACCAGAGTAACACAAAAATTATCATATATAGTAACATACATTAACCACCAGAGTAATACAAAAATTATCATACATAGTAACATGTACATTAACCACCAGAGTAACACAAAAATTATCATACATAGTAACATGTACATTTACCACCAGAGTAACACAAAAATTATCATACATAGTAACATGTACATTAACCACCAGAGTAACACAAAAATTATCATACATAGTAACATGTACATTAACCACCAGAGTAACAAAAAAATTATCATACATAGTAACATGTACATTAACCACCAGAGTAACACAAAAGTTATCATAGATAGTAACATGTACATTAACCACCAGAGTAACACAAAAATTATCATACATAGTAACATGTACATTAACCACCAGAGTAACACAAAACCCTCAATGTGACTTAATTGTGCTCCTTGTAATATCTTATTATTTACTCCTTAAAACAACTAACTAACTCAACTGTCTGAAAATCAGTTAAGATTTTGTTTGGATTTTTAACCCCAGAGGGTTAGCCACCCAGGATAACCCAGTGAAGTCAGTGCATCAGTGAGGGACTGTCTGTCTTATTTCCATTGTGGTCCTCAATCTTGTCCTCCAGGATGCCACCCACACCAGTCTACTAACACCCAGGTACCTACTTGCTAAGTGAACAGGACAACAGGTGTAAGGGAACACATCAAAAGTTTCTACCCCTCCCGGAACTGAACCCGGACCCTCCGCGTGTGAAGCGAGAGGTTTGCCAACCAGGCCATGGGAAGGTATACAGTGGAACCTCTACTTGCGAGCGTGTCCACATGCGAGTTTTTCCAAATACGAGCAGTCAATGGGTTGAGTTTTTGCTTCCATAAGCGAGCAAAATTTCCACAAGCGAGCAGACCTCAAGGCAGGTTCCTTGACACTGGTGAGAGGCTCTTGCTCTTGATCTCGGGAATTGTATCTCATTTGCTTGTTGGACTATCTTATTGAAACTTGGGCAATGTATGATGGAAAGATGCTTCTTAATGTACACCAAAAATGAAAGAAATCTAAGCATTAATAATGGAGTTCACTTTTCAGCATTTAGCCTCCCCTTAGCGGTATTTTCGTATGGTTTTTATGGTTGTATTCTCGTTTTTTTTGTCTCATTTGATAGAATGGAAGATATATTACAGAAATAGATATGATTTTGATTGCTTTCACAACGAAAAGTACCTTGAAATTGAGCTCAATGTAAAAGAAATGGTCCGTTACTTGGCTATGTTTAAGAGTAAACAAATTATGTCACTGTCCATTCCAATATGCAGTCGTGAATGGGTTGACATTATTTATACAATTATTGCAATAAGAAAAACAGTAAATCTTATATTTTTTGTGTTTACCTGGAGTTTACCTGGAGAGAGTTTCGGGGGTCAACGCCCCCGCGGCCCGGTCTGTGACCAGGCCTCCTGGTGGATCAGCGCCTGATCAACCAGGCTGTTGCTGCTGGCTGCACGCAAACCAACATACGAGCCACAGCCCGGCTGATCAGGAACTGACTTTAGGTGCTTGTCCAGTGCCAGCTTGAAGACTGCCAGGGGTCTGTTGGTAATCCCCCTTATGTGTGCTGGGAGGCAGTTGAACAGTCTCGGGCCCCTGACACTTATTGTATGGTCTCTTAACGTGCTAGTGACACCCGTGCTTTTCATTGGGGGGATGGTGCATCGTCATGCCAAGTCTTTTGCTTTCGTAGTGAGTGATTTTCGTGTGCAAGTTCGGTACTAGTCCCTCTAGGATTTTCCAGGTGTATATAATCATGTATCTCTCCCTCCTGCGTTCAGGGAATACAGGTTTAGAAACCTCAAGCGCTCCCAGTAATTGAGGTGTTTTATCTCCGTTATGCGCGCGCGTGAAAGTTCTCTGTACATTTTCTAGGTCGGCAATTTCACCTGCCTTGAAAGGTGCTGTTAGAGTGCAGCAATATTCCAGCCTAGATAGAACAAGTGACCTGAAGAGTGTCATCATGGGCTTGGCCTCCCTAGTTTTGAAGGTTCTCATTATCCATCCTGTCATTTTTCTAGCAGATGCGATTGATACAATGTTTGGTCCTTGAAGGTGAGATCCTCCGACATAATCACTCCCAGGTCTTTGACGTTGTGTTTCGCTCTATTTTGTGGCCAGAATTTGTTTTGTACTTGATGAAGATTTAATTTCCTCATGTTTACCATATCTGAGTAATTGAAATTTCTCATCGTTGAACTTCATATTGTTTTCTGCAGCCACTGAAAGATTTGGTTGATGTCCGCCTGGAGCCTTGCAGTGTCTGCAATGGAAGACACTGTCATGCAGATTCGGGTGTCATCTGCAAAGGAAGACACGGTGCTGTGGCTGACATCCTTGTCTATGTCGGATATGAGGATGAGGAACAAGATGGGAGCTAGTACTGTGCCTTGT